TCGTCAATCTCAGGAGTACATGAGTTTTTGTGGTTTCTTTTGGTTAATCGGATTTTTTCGAAAACTTTTTTTTTGAGGCTTGGGTAAATTCGAAATTTTAGTTTTTGCTGATCATCGAAAATTCCATAACTAAATGTATATTTTGAAAACTTCCTGAAACAGTATTAAATTGTTTGCCAACCTAATTGCTCCTAATTTTATACACCCTAATTTTTAAAAAGTTAGAATGACCGTTCCGTTCGAAATTTTTTTAGAAATAACTAAAAATTTGGTGGGAATTCAAGAGTCGTTCTCCAAAAAAGAGGATAAACATGATCGGATATCTTAAGATTCAATAGATGAATCATAATTACAAATCCAAAACAAAGTATTTTTCAGGCATCTCCAAACACCGGAATCAAGAATTTGAAAGGGATTAAACTAGGCAATGACGGTGGAAATTTCGAGATTTTTGAGATTGAGGAATGCTGGTGAAGCTGGGCAAACTGTTCATGAAGTTTAGAGAATCATTTGCAATTTATAGGTTTAAAAAATGAAATTAGTAAGACAATTGGAAAACGACCGAAAAGTAGATTATGTAAACAACAGAGAATGTTTTGATAACAACATTTTCAAAAAACAAGAAACTATGAAAATAATTAAACGAATTTAAATCGTTTGAATCTCCAAAACACTTTTAATAAATGCACCTGGTGGACAATTTACCGTAAAACATCTATTTCAATTACACCACGACCGTCAACTCCGGTCTTGGTTTTTGTGAGAGATATCAATGAGCGCTCTACTGACAACATATTTGTCCTGTTAATATGAACGCTTTGTCAGTTGACCACTATTTTGGTATTTCTCTCCGGTACCAGGTTTCAGGAACCGGTATAAGTTGGCTTGAAGCTTACGGTCAGTATGAAACTCTATGTATTAGAGATTTTACTGTAGAAACATTACAGAATCATTCTCCTAGATAATCTACAAATTATCTCGCAAGAAATGACAGAAAAAAATCAGGAAAGCTGAAGAAAACCACTACAAAAAGTGTACTAGTGGGAGTAAAAAATCTGGAAGGCCCTTCTTCATAAAATTAGAAATTCCAGACATAAAGGACCTCATCAAGATGATGGAGATGATGGTCTAGATGAAAAATGCTCATCGAAACATCCTAGCTCTCTGTCCCTCTCTCTCTCTCTATCTCTTTTCAAGAGAGAACAAGAATTTCTGTGTGTATCTTCCAGAGTCCTCTCTTTTTTCTCTCTGGTGTGTGCTCCATAGGCATTCTTCTTCTATTTCCTCTCTCGTCCCAAAAATACTTTTCTTCTCATTTCATCCCTCTCTCTCTCTCTCTTTTTTTCTCATCCGATGATGAGGATCATGGTGATGATGATGAGAGGATGAGTGTGTGTTGATAGTAAGAGATTCAGACAGTCATACAACAACTTCTATTCTTCATCTGTTTTTGCTTACAGGTCCAGAGATAATAGCGGATCTGGAGGACCGAGACCGGATGAGAGAAATTGATAAATTATTAAAAGACGACACATCCGGGTGTCTCTTTGTGTATCTAAGAAGATGGATATCAATCGAAGATGTATGTGTACATTGTACTTCTTTTTCTTCCTGTTTTTCAACTCTTGGAAAAAGCAAAAGAATGAGAAGAAAACTGAATTTCAAATCAACTTTTTTCACATCTTGTTGTATTCTTTGGCAAATCAGAATACATTTCCTATTTCAGAATCCAAGCAAAAATAATTTTTTGTGTATTCACCAGACATCAATCCATCGGCTGAAATGTTATGCATCCTATTCAAAATGGCGTGCCGAAACAGTAAATTTTCATCAAATCTATGTATGATTTGTTTTAACTTCTCAGAACAAGGAACAGTGGAAGTACTACATTAAAACCATTAGTTACTCAGATACAATTAAAACCTGTTACATATACTCATTAAGACCTGGTACAGGTGCCAAGCATAATTTAAACAAAATACATATGTACCTTAAAAAAGTGTCCCTTTATCATTAACTTTGACCTAATTTATATCGATTGCTGTAAGAGGTATCACGAAACGTTCAACAATCGAAATCATTCTTATAATAAAATTAATGGTTTGTCAGTTGACCACTTTTTGATATCTTTCATAGGAAACGTGGAAATTTGGCTCAAACTTATAGGGCACTTCTATTAGAGGTTGGACGGTAATTAATTCAAAATTAAAACTTTGAACAAATAGGAACAAAAATCATCCTCAGCTTGGGTTATCATTGAAGTTTGTTGCGCATTTACAAAGCTTTCCAAGAAAATTTTCACACAAATTTAGTTGATTGAAAATCAAGTTTCAGATTTAGAAAATAGTTTCGAAAAGAAATGAAGGCACATTTTTCAATAAAGCTGAATGATCGCCAGACAACCCATCGATTGAATATTTTTTGTAGTTTTTATATGTCTTCACTATAACAGTAATTTTTCAATGATTGTGATTTGTCTATTTGTTGGGCTAGTATTTGACTTCACAGTAAATGTGAGAGCGAAGAACAGAGTTTTCAATAGAAAAGATGAATTCCATGAAATCAAACGTTTCTTGAAATGAAAGCCCAACTGATAATTAGGTTCTAACAAAATTTGAGCAATGAAGGATCAATAATTCAGTTTTTGCACTTTGAAAAAAAAAGTAGTAAAGATCATTCTGCCAAGAAGTTGTTTGTTTTCAAGACAGGAAGATTTAGAATTCGATAAAATTGCACAACGAAATGAAAATAAGCAACATTTTTCAATAGAGGAGAATATTCTTTGCCGGATCTAAATCCACCAATTCATTTTTTTCCGAAGTTATTACATCACTTTGCTGAAACAGTGATTTTTGATGTTAGTGAGTTGTCTATTTTTTGTGATAGTATTTGAAGTCGTAGTGATTGTAAGAGCGAGAAAACGACTGAGCAAGTAAAATGTCAGAGTTTTTAATACGAAAATGGAATTATGTGAAATTAATAGTTTCTTGAAATAAAAAAACAACTGGTAACCAGGTTATATTATAACTAAATTTAGACAATGAAGGCTCAATATTTCAGTCGATAGCTCGAAAATAAGAAATCGTCAAAGCCGGGGGCTCTTAGAGCATGCTACAGAAAAGTTTTTTGTTTTCAAAAATGAAAATTGATTGATGAAAGAACTGTGGTGGCATTTCCAGTTATTTAAAATGGGAAGTTCCGTAAACATGTAATAGAACGGCCTCCTAACTTTCAACTTTTAGCCAAATTATCTCGGTTCCTGTTGAAGATATATAACGTTGTCCACTGGTCAAATGCTTATGATATTATGATAAAGCATCTCCAGTTGACGACTTTTTATATCTTTGACATAACCGAGATATATTGGCTGTTAGTTTAAAGTTAGGGGCCCTTTTATTACAGGGGATCCGCCTTAAAAACGCATATCGGCCAATCAAATTCAGAAACTTTCACTAAATCATTACTATAATAATAATATTTATTGATAAAGGACTATATAGTCACTATAGAATGAAAAAAGATTGTGCCTATATTCTGGAATGACCCCTATGAACTTATCAAAGGAAAAATTCAAAGGATCAAGCTCTGGACCATCAAAAACCGAGTCCTTTTCATATTCTGAAGTGCATCACAATAAAACAAAAAAGAAGTGAACGAAATTCAATTCAAAGTTTCCTAGGAATCCTTGAATCTTCTTTTCGTCCTATAGAATTCTATTCAATGTATTTCTTTATCAAATCAAGAAAACCATCGGTTCAAGTCTCAATATATGCAAACGACGAAAAAAATGGAGAAGGGATATGAGCATTTTTGTGCTCATTTTCCAGTGATGAGTGGTACAAGAAGAGGAAAAGGGGAAGCTCATAATTGTTTTGTTGGAAGAAGAAGGAGAAGAAGGAAAAAGAGGAAGAAGGCGAACAAAACGTCGCGTCATTTTCATTTTTGTCTCGACACCACAATTTCAACCAAAATGAAACAATTTTAGGAGAGAAAGAGAAAAACGGAGAAAGGGCGAGAACTGGGAAATTGGAAGAAAAGTAGAAGTGCGCTTTATTAGTGCTGGGATAATATGACAGAGAAGGATATTCGTTTTCAAAGTTTCTAACAATAGGAGTTCCAGTATTCAGGAAATCGGTCATGACCAGCGTTTGTTCTTCAAAAGACATATACCAAAAAGGTTGATTCCAAAAAATTTCAAAACAAGAACAGCCATCGAACGACCGTTCCAACCATTAAACTGGGCTCAGTGCCTCCTAGGCCATTTCATCACGGTGGCCTAAATTTTGAAAGTCGAGTTTTCTAGGTCACCAACTTTTATAATCTAGAAATGACCTGATATTCAGATGGTATGTTCTCTAGGTCATTTTAACATGATGGCCTACCAAATCGACTTTTCTAGGTCGTAATGGTAAATGATCTAGAAATAGCTTGATATTCACCTGGTATGCTTTCAAGGCCATTCCAACTTGGTGGCCTAACTTTGCAAGTTGAGTTTTCTAGGTCACCACCACGGTACATAGCCTAGTCGTGGTCTGATATTCCTGGTGTGTTCTCTAATTCAACTTGCAAAAGTTAAGCCACCATGTTAAATGACCTAAGAAACACATCAGGTGCATGTTAGACAGTTTCTGGAACATCAGCTGAGAAAGAGGCCACTCTATTCCAGGTATGTTCGGAATGGTCTTTTCGGAATTTTTCGGAATGTCGAAAATGCCGATTTTGAAAATTTCGGAATTGGGAATATTCCGATTTTGAAAATCTAGCTTTGATCATTATGAGAGGAACAACTATAAAAAGTTAAAGACATATTTATGATTTATTCTTAAAAAATTAAAGAATGACGAATCAAGCGAACCAGTGTGTACTTTGTGCATTTTTCAGAAGCAGCAGCAGTATTAAAAAACAAAGGAAGGAAGAAATAATGGAAGGAAGTAAAAATTGAAAGAATTTTTGGAGGGGGAAAATAATACTTAATTTCATCGTTATAGATTCTAAATCCATCAAAACATCTGGTATCTTCCCGTATTATGACGTCTCATTTCGTAATAATGCGGACGTCGATAAGCGGATTCGCGGATTTCACGGCCCAAGGATTGGCAGTTGAGACGTTGGAATTGGTGGATGGCTCGTTTGAAATTCTGAAAATAGAAAAAGATTCTGTTACAGATATGGAAAAGGGTATGTAAAGATTTATTTAGTTTCCGTATTGGCTTCAAAAGATCATATCATAAAGGAAATTTCCGCTAAACCAAATTGAAACCTCAAAGCTCACTATTCGATCTCAAACTAACCTTCTCTTTTTGCCATGGCAACACCAAGTTGGCCAAATATTTACCATCAGATTGTCGACTTGCCATCACTAACAACTTCTCGTTTGGTCCTTTTGTTGGAAGAACATTGCACGGACATCCACTGTCTGATTCTGGTGTTAAACGGATTTCTGAAAAACAAGACCGTCTTCCGATGTGTATTTTGTTTTCCTGTTTCAATTCGTTATGGAATGTTTGTATGACTTGGAACTTCACTTGCATTTTTTAGACGAACCATATTGGTTACAAAGAGATCAAACACTCACCAACTTCAGAAACACCTTTCCTTCGTTCGCCCTTCTTCATACTGCGTCCATTTCGAACAAGAATATGTGTTGGAGAGTTGCGGCTCACTTTTCCTTTCAAGACTGAAAAAATCTTTCCTACAATTTTTTTGGATACTTACTGTTTCAAACAGTGCTTTTCCCAGTTTGTGCAAATTTTTGTTGATAGACATAAATTGCATACTACTTACTGAAATACTGATTTGAACGATGTTTATGGCGGATATATTTATAGGTGAACTTCTGTCGAATCTTTTGCGGCGGATAAAGTTAACTATGAAATTGCATACCAAATGTGAATTTGCGGTCATTCTTTTCGGCAAGATTTGGATCCTATTTTGCTTGTCCAAAAGATTATTTATATCACCTTTTTTATTTGAAACTAGCCAACTTTGGATGTCTAAAACAAATGTAGATTTTGTTAAATGAGACAACAATTTTTTGAATCTATTTAACAATAATATAGAAGCATCTAATTTCGAAAATTTCGTCTACAGGTTGGCGCATGATTACCCGGACCAAAGCTTGCACTAGAATGAAATTTGAGTAAAGCGTTGTACTGGGTTTTTTTCTCATTTGGAGGGAAATTTTTTTAAAAACTCATCAGTAATCTGTTAAAATTTCAACCTTTGTAATCAACTTTGAGCTGAGTTATCGCTTGTCAAAGTCGCTTTATCTCATGAAAATCACAACGGCGTGCAAGAAACATTACGCCGTTCATCTTTAGACAGTCGTAACAATACCTAGATTTGAGGAATCGATTTGAAAATTTCAGTAGCTTTGAATCAAACGTAAAATTATATTTCTACCAATTTTCATGCTTCCAAGACATGTATGTCTAAAGATATACCCGTTTTCATTAGTCTGGGTAATTTTGAGCCATCCTGTAAATTTAACTGGAATTATCCGATCCAAAGTGGGACTCCAACTATGTCATTTTTAATTTTTCGATTTTACATCTTCCCTCAGTCCTTTGTTTCTCTTTCCTCAACGTACCCAAATTTGATCTACAAAACTGATCGACAAGATTCTCGTAGGTGGCGACTTGCGAGCACGCCGTGCACGTTGTGGTGCTACCTGAAATCGAATACTTTTACATTTTCCACTTCTCTCTCTCCGATTACTGTAATATATTCTTCTTATCTCACTTCTTCCCCTCCTTCTTTTCTTCGAAATTTGACCCTCCCGCATTGAAAGGAATCAGAGGGAAATGTCCAGACTAAATGTCCAGATTTTTTCGTATCCAGTGTGTGAAAAAAAGAGCGGGAAAAAGTTTTCGGGTTTTTCTCGAAAAGTTATGCATCAATGGACGTTTTGTTCTGTCGGCAACTCTTTGAAGTGTCCATGTGATTTTGACAGATTAGGGGGTGAAAAAGAAGAACAAGAAGAAGTTGAAATGATTGATGAGGTGTGAAGAAGCAAGAAAATAGACGAACTCATGATTGATGATAGGGCTGATAATGATTACATTTGGAAACTTCTTTTTTTTTCGTTTTCAGTTATGGAGCCGACTAGACTGATCGACAGTTTCGGAACTGTTAATCTTCAAGTAAGCGCAGCAACATATTTGAAAGAACCCCAGTCCTCAAACTTCCCAGATGAAGCAGAAAGATTTTTTGAGCCATTTTCTCAAATGTTTTTCCAATAGTTTGAATATAAACCAAAAGTGCATATTTTCTCGAGAATCCCCAAGTTTCACTAATCTCTTTAAGAATAAACAAAAGAATCAGACCTGCCGGTGGTTTGGCCTCTTGCATTGGCTTTATACACATGTCGTCGTCTTCGAATTTGTCGCACGACAACATTTCTGGCCACGGGAATCCATAATTGGCCATTCGGTTTTCGCAACCCTGGGAAAGAATATGATTTAGGTTTTCAGTTGGAGTGGACTGAAGGAATGACTATGGATAGGCGCCGCAATGAAAGGGGGCGGGGCGATCAAATTTTTCTCCCCTCGGCACAATCCCATTTTTGAAGGCTTGTACCGGGCGTTAGAAACTCATTATTTTTAAAGTTAGAATTTGTCCCTATGTAATCGACTGCGATAAATCGAATGGAATTATCAGTTGTTCAATATTTTCATTATTTTGACTCGAAAACTTTGAAAAACAGGAATCACACTGACAAAGTGGACTAAAAGTATTGGATGGAAGTTAGTGCCTTCAAATTTTTTGATGGGTTCTGATAGTTCATGAAATGGGGGATTGGATTTCAAAGTAAAATCAAATTTCTACTGTGGCGGTTGTGGCGCAATTTCCAACCAAAGTTCCAGACAAAATACATAAAAAATGTCAGCGATGACCCCAAATTTTTTTTCTTATATTATGGTAAAACTAAGCTTTGTGTACACCTGTGACAAGTTTCAGAAAGGTTGGTTATCTTAAAGTAGTTTTAATACTCATCCGAAAATTCCAAACTTTCAAAATTTTCGGTTTTTGGAAGTTTTGAGGGTGACACAGGTGAGTGCCTCCGATTTTCTTTCCACCATAAGATAAAGCGCAAAATTTGCCACCAAATACAGTCCTAAATAGAAAATCTCATATGTAAAACATCTGTTTTCTCGTCTATCATAGAGCAATTCATTTAAAAAAAAATAGGGATGAGGCACCACCGGAAGGAAGCGGCAGCCAACGAAAAGCCGTCCTTTCATGTCTCCCATCTAATGCCCACACTCAGCGTGGGCGACGATCTGAGGGTGAAGGAGGTTCGAATCCTTTGTGGGTCTATTAGCTTTTTCTTAAATTTCCTTTACAAATTTTCCGTGCCGCGAGGTTGCAAAAGATAAGCTCCGCCCAAATTTCTGCGCACCGCAAAAAGATGAGGAGAAAGTCAGTACATCGAGGTCTGGTACAAAAGGATCTGTATCTCGAGAATGGGAGAACATTTTTCGCTGAAAATTTGGGAATATACTTCTATGAAGTAGGAGAAGACAATCCAACAATAAAAATGAGAAAAAGTCTATTTTGAAAATTTTGTTGTGGTGCCTACTTATATCTTTGTATTTCCTTCATTCTCAATTATAACCTCTTTTAACGCCTTGCTCAAACTTTATGCTAGTGCAAACTTTCGTATGGGTAATTATGCGAAACCCTGTAGTGGAGCCAATAAATTTTTTAAATTCTCACTTGAACATCTTTGTCGTTAGTAACTAATTATACAATACAAGTTACCATTTACAAATTTAAAACAAAAACTTTTTTCTCCGATTCCCGAAATTATCGGAGATCACAAACCTTGAAGATCTGCTCGTTTTAAAATATCGAACTTCAGCAAACTTCAATTACCTTCTCACAATTACTTTAACAATTCGTAGGCAAAACATTTTTGAACCAACACTCTAATGTTGACTCATAACATTATGCATTCAACGATTAGATTTTAGTACCTCTTTTCTCACGTCTTATTACCCTCATCTCTCATCTCTTCTCACCTGTTTGACTGCCATACACAAACTCTTACAGGGAAGAATCAATCTGTCCATTTGCATTAGACACACTGGTGCAAACAGAGAACACAGGAATCTCTGAACAAAAATAGATAATCTGGTCGAATGAAAACCATCACGAACCTGTGTATCTGGATGACAATTTAAACGAAGAAGACTTTCCCAATCTTTTGATGCGTGAATTGCTTCGGAGACTGTTTCATGCTCCAGGATATTTGGAAGACGCATTTGTGTATACTAGAAAAAAGAAATGGGTTCCGAATACAAAAAATATCTATGGAGTTTTTCGATATAAACCTCCTTACCTCAATTCCATTGCAAATACTCAAGTTGCTTGGAATATCAACACACTTCGGGCCTACGGGCCGTTCGGATGAGAACATTGCCCAAGAATCTTCCAAATAAGCATTAGTTACAGAAAATGCGAGTAAAAGAAAAAGAACAGGAAATAAAGGCATTGTCTGAGCTCGAAGACCTCCTAGACTCGTGCTCGTGGAGCAATGGGCCTGTTGAAAGATGAGACAGTGGGCGGAGTTTAGGAGAATGAGTGGCTGGTTGGAGAGAGAGCTCAGCCCCGCCCCATAGTTGTGGAACAGAGATTTTGTTGAGAGTTTCTGATAGAGTTGAGAGTAAATATTGACGAATCCTATCAGCATGATAAACCGTGTGAAATGTTATAAATGATGGTCAGTGGTTTTAATGGTGCATTTAAAAAACAAAGTAGTACGGAAAAAATTATTCTGGCACATTCTGGTATTGCATTTGAATAATCATTTGAACTCCGGGATTATTTGGGTGGACGGAAATTTTTTTTTCAACAATTGGAAGAATTTAAGGTTTTGTTGAAATCTTCCCCAAAACAATAACATGATCATGTCAGGTAAACGATTCTGAATTAGATATGACTTCATTCGGAATTAGATCTGGGTTCGTTCGTAAATAGAAGTGGCATGACCTAATACAGAATTTAGCTAATCTAATTCCGAACGAACACCGAATGAACTACAAACGAATTAGATCTAATTCCGAACAGACCAGCGGGATTTCGGAGCATCGTAGCGAGCGCTTTTCAAATTTTGTTTTCTTTTCAACGCCATTCACTTTATTTATAATAAAATTTATTAAAAAAGAAAACATAACAAGTATGAGAAAAAGAAAAAATTGATTAAAATGTAGATATAGGAAATCGGAACGAAAATGAGGGGTGTGATACAAATGAATGAATGGGATCGGCAAAAAAGAAAACGATGAGATCAGCGAGAATAATGGGACCTATGAGATAAGAAAAAGTGACAAAATTTATGAAAAAAAATCTCAATTCGAATTCTTCCGCTCGTCCATATTTTCGATTTCGAAAATTCTCTTGTCATAGTTTCCGGTTGTAGGTAAGATGGATATTCTTTATGAAATGAATGTTGATTTAACGGAAAAAAGAAGTTTTTTGCTTTGTGATGTCGATAATAAACTTACTTGAGCCATTTCAATATAATTTCCGTACTCAAATCTTTGCAAATCCAAATAAATTCATCAGAGCAGTTGTTTTATACAACAAATCCCAAATTTTTGAATCGTTTTAATCGGGTCATGACACATTCGGTTGAGAGCCTGCAATTTCACGCATGTTTCTTTGTCCACCAGACTTTCGAAAACTAACCTGCTCATGACAAGACACGGCTTCCAAAAGTAAGGCCTTCTCGGCTTGTGTAAATTGAGCTCACTATCAGAGAAATTTATCATCTCTTTTTTTCTTGTTTTTTCGGTGATCCCTTGCATCGTTTTTACGTAATCCTTTAAGTGAAAAGGGCAAAAATTATCTTACCTGCAGAGTTTTCTCTGAATTTAAAATCTTCAAAATATTCGTATTTTTGTCGGTTCATAGAATTACTGTCTTCTATAGAAGTCGTATATATAAATTGAACTTTAAATATTCAGCTGTCCCTAAAAAAATTCACCTAAAATTTTGCAAAAACGTGCACAACACATTAAAATATGTTCCAGAAAATATCGTTTAAATAATTGAGCGAAAAAAAAGGCAAAAGTTGAGAGAAATACCCATTTTCCTGACGAAAAAAATTTAGGAAAACAAAAAAAAAACAAAACAATTCATCCGCGGCAGCTGAGTCATTGATGGCGCATTTCTCGTGGCAACTTCGGTATTAGATCTAGTCCAGATCTAATTCCGAATGAACTCAGATCTAATTCCGAATTTCGAGTTATTCGATCTAATTCCGAATGAACTCAGATCTAATTCCGAATCGTTTACCTGAGGACTTTCAGTTTTGGTTTTTTTTTCAGTAATTTCTTTCATTCTATTTTTTCATCCAGGCTTATGTTTGGTATACTTATAAAGTTTCAGGATACTCGAATTCAAGTATCTATTTTTAATAAAGTTAGCTGACAATTGTGCAAGCAAGTATCTTTATAGTTGAAACTGCATGCGATTTTTTGAATGGTGTCCATATATTCAAATGGAAAATGATATTATTCTTCCAGATGGCTGATTTTCCTTGAGGTAATTATTATAAGGTATTGGCACCTACTAATTAGATGCACCGCGTTTTTATTAACACATACGGGTGAGAAGGTAAGATATCCAAAAGAAGAAGATTTGAAAAGGACAAATTCAAATCAACCAAGATGTTTTATACATAACTTGCGGGTCTCAGGTTATGGTGATAAGATATTGACTGAATCTTGTCAAGAACCACAAAATTAGAATACATCATGAAAATACAGTATTAAATGCATGTATTAAATGCATGCCCTTTGAAGAGAGGTGCCCCTCTAATACAAATTGTGTTGTTACACTTTGTTATGATCTAGATCTTATCTAACATGCTAAACACAGAGATGAACGGAACAGTCCACGCAGATCGCTGTCCATTGTCCGCCCGTCACCCGTTGTCTGTTGCGGCGTCCGTGTGCTGTCCGCCGCATTTCCTTTTGCTGATGGCTAATTGCCAGTTCTGCGTTACTTTTTTCTTCTTCTTTAAGAATACGTAACTATTTCAGTAATAGTTTTCCATTGTATCACTTTACTCGATTTTGTCGACCTTAATCGAATTTCTTCGATTATGAAATCGTCGGCTCACCACCATCGTCTGTCTTTGCCATAGGATTGTTCTTCTATCTGTCTGCGTCTCCATTCGTTAAAATGTTTTTTGTTCTCTCTTTTCCATTTCACATTTCTGAATTATTTCGATCTCAAATAGGATTAATTTAATTTAAATAGGGATAATCTTTTTTCTTTATAAACCCCCCTAGAGTAAATCATCAACAAGCCACTGTGTTTTTTCCGGAACATTTTGCAAAATAATTTTTTCTCGCGCGTTTTCCGATGAAATGCAGACATCGCAATGTAAAGATTTCGCATCGAGACTTTAGTTTATTGTAGCATTACAGTATGTTTCCATTCGAGCACATTTACAAGAGGTTCTAGAAAAAAATCCTCGAATAAATTAATAATCAGAATTTGTAGTAGTTCTCTAACTAACAGTTCTCCATTTTAGTAGATCTTATTTATCGAGTTTCTGTTACTCTTATTTATCGAGTTACCATACACTGTAAAAGCATAAATAATAAGTGAAACAAAAAAGGAAGAAAATGGACGTTTCTGACACCACATCAGTGAGATTTCATGTCACACCAGTGAGATATACACAACCAGAAGTGTGACAGAAAGTGTGTTTGTGGAGAAAGTTTAGTGTTTGACTATCCCTCATATTCCTTCTTCCTCTTCCTCATTGTTCTTTTCATGCTGATATTTAAAAAAGAAGAGTTGTAGAATAGATACGTTGGTGAATGTGACCGAAGGTCCCAGAACAAAATATACTATTAAGCCGAAAATTTGAGTGCGGGGGTTTTTATAGGTTTTCACCCGTTTCCCTGAAATTCGTTCACTTTAAAACTCTGTACTGACTGGTTAAAATACACGTTAGCATCAATCGATTGGGTTAACATTATGACACTCATCCGATAGGAAAGGGTCATCTTCTGTTTCTTGGAGAGGATCTCTTCCTCGCTATCACAGGAACTCCTACATTATACATGAAAACCATAGGTTCCCCTAGTTCTTCAGATTATTGAATGTTATAATTTTTAAGAGATGGGAACCTAATGGGGTTCAATGTAGCGAGAATACTTATGCACCTTCACTTTGGGTAACACCTTTTGTCTTGTATGAGTTACTCTCTTTCAAAAAGAAATAATACAGAGAGACGCAGAATGTATCCCATTCCCCTATTCCTCACACACCGTTCTGTTCTCCTTTTCTTGTTCTTTCCAGAGATGCACGGACAGTTCGTTGTCCGTTGTCCGGTCATTTTCGGAGGTTCGTTTTCTGATGTCCGCTGCAGCGTGCTGTCGGTTTGAATTTTTTTTGTCCATTTTTCGATGTCCGTTGTTCAAACAAAAAAATTAGATGTCCGTCTGGTCCTTATCTTGGACATGGGTCGAACTCATAAAGCCCGTTATATGAAGGATGCTTTTTTATCCCAAAAATCAATTACAAAATGACTTATAGTTGTTTGACGAATCGTTATTTTGTCTGGGTCTAATTTCTTGCATTTTGTTAACTTCTGTTAATCTTGTGTTTTTTGCCGCTTTATTGTATCCTCTGAATAACAACTATTTTCAGACACAATGTGTGTAAAAAGATACAAAAATTTCCAATATGGAGGCAATAAGGAAATCAAATTTGCAGAGTTTCAAGGGGTAGGGAATAACAAAATTTTGAAGAAAGTAACGTTTTTTTCCAGACTTCAATGAACAAAAATCAGACATCGAAAGAAATAGATCGATGGAAAAACAAAATTCGGGAGAGAACAGAACAGTTTATGAAACAATACCCAAAGGTGGTGGAAATGGTAAGGGTTTCGTCAGAAAAAAAATGCTTCCAATAATTTCTTTCAGGAAAGTGATGATGATGATGATGACGAGATTGAAGAAGGGTGCGGTTACAAGATAGCCTACGAAAATGTGAAAATTCCCGATGAAGAAACGCTGATCATGCCATATGTCAATGAGAATGTGGACCATGATAAAATTGCGGAAATTCTACAGCAGGTTGGTGATATTCACTTGAAAGTATCAGGAAAAGAATAGGTAGTTTCTATGTTGTTCATCTATCATCATTGTGATGCATAAAGTTCTCGAATAACAAAAAGCCGTGTTTTCTCAAATAGACGCCCACCCAACCTGTCAACTTTGAGCTCAGTTATCTCGATACCTGCCAAAGATACCAAAAAATTGTTAACTGATAAATTTTCGGGTAGACTTCTATTAGAGACAATACCGTATTCTTAACACAAAAAATGTTATTTTTCAGACCTATCCATCAATCGTCGGGTATCATAAAAACGAATATGACATTTCGGATCGCTGCTTCTTCCACGTTATGAAGAAATGTCTGCAAGAGGTAAACAAGTACAAGTTGGATCCAAAATTTTTTTATCACTCTCTTTATTTGATTTTTCCAATCAGAGGGTCAGCAAACAAAATGTCTCAAATGTGAGTTAATCTGAATTTTTAAAACATCTCAAAATTCATTTTTAGATTTCCCACCTTGGCCGAAAAATTCGATGCAAGACTGGACGCCCTCACACTGGAACCATGGAAGAACGATGAAACAGATACCAAATCTTTCTCTTCGCATGGGAACCATTTTTCCTATTGTGTGCCTTTGCCATACAAAGTGGACGATAGCAATTGCAAGTCTACGGAATGCTTCAAAAGAGAAGACCGAACAACTCCGATAGATCGCAAGGATAGTGATCGACTTCAAATATTTGTGAAAAAATCAGTGAATATCAAAGGACGAGAACATTTTCTTCCCTTCATGAATCATCTGTTCTCAACAAAAGATCCCGATTTTTGTCGGGCTGCGAAGAAGTTCGAAACTTTGGGAACTTGTAAAGAGCTCCATGAATTTGTGCTTGGATTAGAAATGCGTATAACAGAACCAATGGAGGCGTTCCCAAGAAAGTGAGTATTTGAAATTTAAAATCAGAATGATTAAATGTTAATATTTCAGATTGTCTCCTAATGAGCGTTATCGGTTCCACGAACGACGAGAAGATGTTGAAAAGGAAATAGCGGAGAAATCAGAACAAGAGCTCGAGAGGTTAAGAGAGGTGTCGACGAGGGAACGAATTCACAAGAGGACTTGGAAGCCTTTCAGTTGAATATGAAGAATGAATCATGCTTCAGTTCACCCGCCAATCCATGTACCCACTTTGGTCCTTGTGGACCGGGAAACGAAGATTGCTCGTGCAAAAACTTCTGCAGTCCATTTTGTCAATGTGATATCAACTGCAAGCTACGATTCCAGGGTTGCAAATGCAAACCAGGGGAGTGTGGAACTAACCGATGTCACTGTGCCAACCAATGGTTGGAATGCATTCCCGGTCGATGCACCAACTGTTGTTCTGAGGAAACGAAAGATAGTGAGTTTTTCGTGTTATTTCTTCATTTTTCTAAATATCCTCAATTTTTAGGCAACGCTCAAAAACTTGTTTGTAAAAATTCGATTCTGAGCAGAAAGGCGGTTCCTTGTTTGCTAAAAAGCGGAAAATCGAAGATCGCTGGAACCGGGGCATTCCTGACCGTTGATGTTGAGAAGGGTGATTGTGTGGGCGAATATATAGGCCACCATATCTCGATGGAAGAGACGGAACGGAGAGACGAACTGTATAAATTTGCAGCCAACAACTACTTATTCCGTTAGTAAACAGGTAATTTCTATTTGTATTTAACTTGGTGTTTTTTAGAATTACCAAACGGACAAGGAAATTTGGATGGTGCTTTGATAGGAAACGCAACAAGATTCGTTAATCACTCTTCCGAAAATCCGAATCTAAGCACCACTTACCGCAACATGTTAAACGGAAATTCTCACATCTTATTTATTGCTGAGATGGATATGAAAGCAGGAACAGAAGTGACTATTGATTATGGTTACCCAAAGGAGTGTGAGAAAGTGATGTTCACTTATAATCATGAGAAAAAGTGAGTTTAAACATCAACTGGAAATCTCTATTATATAACAAGTAGTGATTTTCAAAAGTTTTAATTTTGGGAAAAATATTCAGTGTTAATATTTCTGTTATATTTGTTGAAAAACACGTTGCTCCCAAAAACTTAACGGTTCATCTTTTGGGAGATTCAAAAGATTCACGTGGCTCACAAAAATTTTTGAAATTTCAGTACTTTGATGTGAAAATTAAAACTTTTGAAATTCACTACTTGTTATATTATTAAATTACAGAGCTCAAAAATATATTGATGAATATGATGAAGAATGCCAAGAAATAGAAAAAGAACAACGAAAGAAAAATCGAAAAAGGTGAGAGGGAGATTATAAAATTTTTGAATTTAAAAATATGTTTTGCAAATTTTCAGACCTGCTCAAAGGATCAAAGCATCACCACCACGGAAGAGCAGAAGAGTTTGCTAGAAAACTATAAAAAATTTTCACTTTTAAAAATTTAATCTCGATTTTACTCAATTCATGTGTATCTCGATTCTCGTTTTTTTTTTCAATTTCTGTGTATTATTTTCCCCTCTCTATTGTTTTTTTCCATTTTGTCTTGCTCAAATAATTGAACCGTACTGGTCTCGAGAATATATTGAATTAGGTAATTCCTGTGTTTAGAAGTCTGGTGGTCGTTGTCTTAGAAGATCCTCTTTTATACATTTAATGCTTTTAGACTATTTGTTGTTTGTACCATTCGTGTTTATAGCTCAATGAATGATTAACAAGTTCACAACAAGATATCAAAGGTATTAAAATTCCCACGCCAAAATACTATTGGAAATTTGGTTCTCTCCACAGGGTACGAACTGCTGTGATATGATTATGCGCTCCAATAAAACAAAATTTTCAATTAGAATTTGAACTTTAAATTGAATTCGATCATAGAAACCTCTGAAACCATTTTCGAAGCTTGAATCTATTCACATGTCTCTATTACCAGAGTGGTAAAACTTCCTGAATCCGGAAATTCAGTTGCCGATTTTAGACTTGTAAGGGGCTTCACACAACAATAGATTTTTTAAAAATATTAAAAAAAGATAATATAGTTCCAAGCTACACACAAAAAATCTTTCTACTTTACTTTGAAAATTTTTCATAATTCAAATTCGACTAGAATGATAAAGGGTTGAAAATTGAGATGAACATTTGCATAGATTAAAGGTTAGAGTTGAAAGGTTTTTGGCAGGAAGACAAAATACTATTAGAAAGTTCTAGTAGCATTTTCTCTTACCAAAAACATTTCATTTTCGAATCCCTATTTATTCAAAACTCAGAGTTTCTTTTTCCTTTTCACTCATTTTATTCGATGTATAAAATGTATGAGCATTGGTCAGACGGAATATCAGTCGGATTTGATTTTACTGTGGGATCTATATCGTTTGTAGCTAACCTCATTTTAATTTACATCATTCTCAAGTATACTCCAGAATCGACAAAAACATATGCGTTAATTATTTCCAGAATTTAATGAACCTTTTTTTTTTTGAAATTTCAGATCAATTATTTTGACATTCACTATATCCGATTTTTGAGTTTTTGTGGCACCTTTATTGGCTTCTGTCAGGTTTAATAGGCACTTGTTAATTGTCGGATAATCAATTGTTTGATTTCCGAGTCCTGCCACGTAGGGATCAGATATTCTACATTTTCAGAGGATTATGTACATACTGTTTTGAAGACGATCTTGAGTTTCGAGCCAAATTCTGTCTAATCTGTAGGGCCTATTTGTTGATAGGTGGTAAGACTAAAATGAGATACTTTAGGGTATAGTCAACAAGTGCAATTTTATATACTTAATCATATCATCCTCATATTCTCCTATGTTTATCGCATACTTGTTATTACCAACCTTTTTGAAACAAATCGATAGAAGGACTTTAGTGTATATGGTTTCAGAGTAATGCCTCGTGCCGGCCAGATATTCTTCATTTTCAGAGGATTATGCAAATACTGTTTCAAAGATGATTTGGAGTTTCGAGACAAATTCTGTTTAATCTGTAATCGTGTTTATAGCTCAATGACTTCCCACCCCCCCCCCTATTCGTTCATGTGAAATAAATAAAATGCGCTATTTTAGGGTACACTCAACATATTCAATTTTATATACTTAATCACACAATTCTCGTGTTCTCTTATGCTTATCGTATGCTTGTAATCACTAATCCTTTGAAACAAATCGATAGAAGGACTTTAGTGTATTCTATCCTACTAATCTATTGCCCTCTTCATTTTTGTTATTTCGTAAGAGAAACTTTCCGCAACATCAAAATAATGCCTGTAACTTCAGTTACTGGGCATCATATATGGCCATCCAACCAATGGAAATCGTAAGCAGGGAGATTGCAAAGTTCGAACCTGAAATCCTTACTTCAAATGCTGCTTACTATGGAATCATCAATCTGTCAGATCCTTCTCAAGTCGTTTTCAATGTTTTATCCGTCACCTCTGCCCCAGTTGACATTGTTGTCACACTTCTTTGCCGTTGGAGAACTATAGCATACACTCGCAAACATCATCAATCGGAAGCTCTTGAAAAACTTCACAAATCTCGGGAGTTGGTTTTCTCTTGCCAGACTATCGGACCTCTTATGTGACCTATAGTATTCATGTATTTTTTAAAACCCAATCGTTACTGTGGTTTTCATCGCACCTTACAGAAATGCTGTTCATGGATGGTTCCGTAGTATTTTCCCAATTACACCTGCTACTATAGTCAAACCAAGATCTGTAACAGGAACGATGCACATAAACTGATATTTTTTAATTTTTTTTCAATCGAATTTTCAATAAAATTTTTAATAACATAGTTTTTGAATCCGAGTATCCATACGTGTGAAATTACAATTGAATGTTATACAGTCAACGGAAAGTTTATTTAGACACACATCAACCAAAATATCGGAATACTATACGAAAACATTTTTCTAGGAAAAAGAAAATGATTTTTTGAAAAGTCTGGGAGCTCATAAAAGCTAAAATAACAAGGGAACGTTTTTGAGAAGTTATTTGAGAATTATGTGCGCTCATGAACCAAGAAGTAATTCGGTTTCACTATGAATAAAAGTTCGAAGCCAATCAAGATCAGAAGTTAATTTATTTATTCACAAATAAATGATTTTAAATCATCCTCGAAATAATTATCCCGACATACAAGTGCCCCGAAACCCCTTTCACAAATGATCACAAAAAGTAAATTGTTCTCATCGCTTATTTGGATTTTTTGGGTGTAAAGAGGGGATTCCAGAAATTTCTTAATAGTTGAATTGGTTATTGTAGCCAAATCGATTTGGTCATTTTTTGCAGTGAACGGTAACTTTTTGAAAATGTTGTTCAATGTCGCATTTCGGGTGTTCACAACTGGATAGTACGTAGAGACAGATATAAAAGATCCATGAGGAACATTATTTGATAATAAGTCCTGAAAATACCTTATTCGTTTTTTAGTAATTCTTGTTTATATCACCTTTAACAACGAAGAAATACAACCTGGACTCAACTTTCCAACTCTAATATTCAGTCTCTGAATATGCGAAACCCATCTCGGATCTATTTGATCTCTTGTATGCAGCTTCAACGCCTTCACTTTAGTCCATTGCTCCGATCTTGCCAAATTCTCCAATTGGAACCTTGTCGCACAGCCGAGACTCATTGTTTCCAAATGTTCTATATTAACTGCTCTAACCAAAGATTCCAATTGTTTCTCGTCCATGAAACTGGTCGGCAGTTCGAAATTGCGAATCTTTGGTCTAACTTTTTCAGTATTCATACACTCCAGAAAATTCTTGAAAAACTTGAAGTGGTTACTGTGTAGATTATAGTTCCATACATGAATGTTGAGAGTATTCACTTTAAATTTCTTATCAAGTTTGAAAATTTTCATAAAGTATACAATGGCAGAATGAGGAGAGAAGAATTTGGACATTGTCACATCCTTATCTCTTAAAACGATTTCCGCTGGAGTATTCTTGTGAACATCATCGACAGGACGTTCGGTTAGATTTAGACCAAAATAATCGATTGTAATTGGACGAGAATCTACAACTTTTTGATCATCTTTCGAACACATGCGAAGAGAACATCTGGAAATCAGAAACTAACATTGAATGGGATATTTTAGAACTAACTTTGATTTGAAGTCAAGGTACGAGACGACATCTTCTTTGAAATGAAATGGAAGATGTTGCCAAATAGGCTCTGGTTTCGACATTCGAATGATTGAAGAAGGAAATTTTTATGAGGTTAGAGGGTGGATGGTGGAGGGAAAGAGAAAAAAGCGAAAGAGTATGACATTTTCGAAAAGAGAGTTTGTTATCGGCACATGTTTGTAGAAGTACTAAAAAGGTCTCAACATAACAATACTCTAGTCTAGAAAAAAGTTGAGGTCAAATATCGAATAAATTACAGCGAATACCGTAATTCGGCGATTTAAATATATTCGTCTTAAAAGTTTTGTTTTCTCCATGTGTCATAATATTTTTAGGCCAATTTTTCGACGACTTTTTGAGATCTCTTACTTGATTCTAACGCTACTGATTTGAGGGTGCGTGGTCCAATTTCTCAACAACGAAATCGAATCGAACCGGCGAATTCATCGATATGGAGTACTGAGTCAAGATGATTTTCGAAGAAGGCAAAAAATCGAATTCTAACGATGAATAGCTGCTTCTCTTTCAGTTGTATTTTTTAAGTTAATTGTGCGCAGTACTTTTTATCATTGCGTACGAATGTTCTTATTTATTTATACATCGAATGCAGAAAATAAAAAGATTTTGTCGACAAAATGTTTTATTCATCTATCAAAAATTAAACAAGTCAGACTTTAAAAAAATCCGGAACTGCTACAAAGAGAAGACACCGTTTTTGGGAAAATCTGGAAAATCTTATTCAAAACTCATAGGAAGTAAATATTTTTGGTATTCCTAGAAGTTTCCACTCAATAAATGTCCGAAATTGATAACATTTTTCCCTTCCAAATATCTCAAAAATTCTGTGTACCAACCACTCTCGCTATAATAATTACTAGGTATGTTTCTTATACTTTAAACAGCAACACACTTAATTCTGTGACTATTTTCTTATTTTCTTTGAAAGTTTTGCAACAACAACAAAAATCACCTGCCCCATTCCCTCATTTCCTTGAATTTCATTCTTCATACTTTAAAACTAACAGATGAAATTAGTTAGGCTCACTGAAATCATGAAATCGCTCAACTAAGTTAACATCTGATCTCTAAAAAACGCTTGTTTTCAGTTCAGTGATTTTGACGACATCTGATTTTGAACATATTCTATTTCAGTCTAAGAGTTTATGAATGGAGTACTCTATTCTTGTCAGCTCTGTTGAAATATTTCAGCTGATACTGGTCACTATTACAGTACCATTATACTTATTTTTGTTATTTTTTATGATAAAGGCGCAGATTCGAAAAGTGGATGAATTGGGTACTCCGTTTTTCAAATTATGTATAACCACTGCTATTATAGATTTGAGTGGGTGGTTCAAACAATTAAAATCACTTTTCAGTTTACAAATTCAGGTACACTTTTCGCCAATTATTTCGGTGCGATGTTTCCAAAAATGGGTTTTTTTGCTGATTTTTATCGGAACCTGGATTACATCTACGCTCATATCTATTTTTATATTGCATGGAGTACTGGAATATGTCAAGCTGCGTCAGTTTCTGTTCTGGCTACTAATAGGCTATCCGCTATAATTTTACCACAAAGTTATAAAAAGGTATCGGAAGAAAAAACAAAGAGATTTAAAAAAAAACAAGAGGAAACAAATTAGTAAAAACCCGGGTCAAAACGGACCGGGAAGAGAACATTCTGCCAGAAAAACCTGGCCCGTTTCATGGTTCATGATCTAAAATATATTTTTGAAAAACTTTTTAGATGTGGCACTCATCAAGACTTTGGATACCTATTTCTATTCAATATGTTCCTGGAATGCTCGTTGGTTTGCTAACTTTTTTCAACAAAACGACATTAGCAACAAATGAAAATAATGGTCTGATGCCTCAGTTTTCAGAGTAGGTGCCTCAAAATCTTTGTTCTATCAGAAATATTTTTTGCAGCAAAAAAATGACAACTATATTTTTCACTATTGGTGGAGGATTCCTCTTTTCCAACTGTATCTATCTGATATTTTCGTATTGTTATCTCTTCGTGGTTCTAAGAAAACGAAACACACAGTTGAGCTTCCTTTCCACAAATGTTCCTAAAACTAAAGAAAAAGCGAGAAAAAGAGAACGAAGACTTTTCACAATGTGTTCTATTATTGTCGCTGTTCAAATGACAATTCTGTTATTTTTCATCTTAAAAGTAGCAAAACTGTTTGAACTGACAGTTGATGAGTTTTACCTTTTCTACAATCTATTAAGGTATCATTTTACAAACAATTTTTACATTAAAAATATATTTTTCAGTGACCTATTTGCCAGTATCAATCCTTATCTCTTATGGATATTTTCGGATTCTTTGAGGAAATATGTACTCACTCAGCTTCGACTTCGGACCAATAGTTCATTCAACAACACTGCAGTTATTACGGTAGAACCAATTTTTAAGAATAATCATTAATTTCAGAAGTGTTCGGAATAGCATTTTTAGAATAACAGATTTCGAAAACGCCGTACAGACTTTGAAATTAGTTCCGCTCGAGGCCTGCAAGGAAACTTTTCCCGTTCGTCTTTGACAAACCGTAGTCCAAAAATTCTGAAAATCGGAATATTACTCTGAAAAAAACCTTTCGAAGTATTCTGACCGGAATTACATCCCGATTTTTTTCCGAAAATTCCGAGCGTTTTCGATATTTTCAGAACATTCGGAATTCCAAAATCCGTTCGAAACATCCCTGAAAGGCCTGTGCGGCAACAAATTGCCGATTGCCGAAATTGCCGAATTTTTGTTGCCGATTAACTGAAATTTTTTTGAATTTAGAGATTTTCACAATTTTTTTAGTCAAAAAAATGATTTCGAAGTTCGAAAAACCAAATTTTGAACACCATCATCCCTCAGAGTGAATTTTAGAGGAAATGTGTCCCAATAATCATCAAAAATACTTACATCGGATCTAAAAATGGGCTTCAAATTTGTGAGCATAGGAGAAAAATAGATATCATGAGTCACAACTCATCAAAAAATTATCCAATCTGTCTCAAATCTCTAGGGAACGGGTGTCGTGAATTGCCTAACAAGTTGAGCGCACTATTTTCAAAACTCACAATCGGAACAAGTATTTTCAACCATTGGAATACCCTCTATTGCTGAAGAGAAATAGTTTGCATAAAAAATGTGGTCTTGAGTTGCCAATTTTTGTAATTACTTTTTTAAGGAACTTATGAAACACATTTTCTGTAGTTCTGAGCCTGATAGAAGCATTTTCAGGTGAGTTACGTATCGATTTTACTAAAAAAAGACGCAAAACTTTTGTTGCCGAAAATTTCCGAAAGTTGCCGAAATTGCCGAAATTTTTTTCGGCAATTGCCGAGTTGCCGAATTGCCGAAAAAATTTTGTTGCCGCACAGGCCTGATCCCTGGATTGATATTGGAATCTAGAAAAAATTCGGGATTTAAAAATTGTTATTTGATTTTCAGAAGACGGTTCTCCCAGCATAAACAAAGGATAAAATCGACTATTTGTATAATTTATTTATTATTTTTGGCATCCGTTCAGTCATCGAAATTTTTTAATTTACGATAGCCAATTTTTGACATATCATCCATTGTGAAAATGCCGACGTCGTGAGAAAAGTTTGTCCACAATCGTGATGAGCAAGTATTTATGCACCCAAATTCTTGTCCCAACGTTTTCCACAAACAAACTGATCATGGACCTATCTACCACGTCATCATAACCCACCCACAATTCCGATCTACACCACCAATTCTGCAAAAAAATGCCCATGCTCCTTCAGAAAAAAAGTACCTGAACCAGAAACCGGTTTTCGAATAGCTTCCTCTCTAGAAACAACTCATTTCCTGTCCTTGTTTTATTTTTCCACTCTTCTTCTTATTCTTCTGATCCTTTTTGCCCAACGCTACCCACTACTTAATATTACTACTACCACCTTTTTCTTGTTTGTCGCTGTTTTTCTTAATTCTGAAAAAAAAGAAAAAAGGATGTAAAGGTCCTTGTGTTTTTGTTTTTCATTCAAATGCGAGAAAAAATCGTCTGGAAATTGAGAAGAGTTTCGAAGAATGGAAGTTTAAATTCTGAAAAGTCTGAAAATAGAATCTCGAAGAATTTTGGAGAAAGCTGTGAATCTCTAAGCACGTTTTCCAATTTACGATTTGTTTCAAATAAAGCGCAAAATAACATTGTTCTTCATTCAAAAGAGACACAAAAACACTGGGGGCAAAATAGAGTTTTTTTTTCTTTTCAACTTTTTTTCGGGTTGGAATTGAGAAAAAAGTGCTGAAACTGCTGCTGAAACATGAACACACACACATGGAACAGAGTGATAAATAGGGGAAACGGAACGGACAGAAATAAATGAAGTTAAATGAAGATGCTTTGGATGGTGTGGGATGGGGATTCTATTTACGACGACGTTCCATGAGGACGCATTGAATTGGCGAGAAGTAGCAGTTCTTGAATTGATTCAGAGCACGCGTGTCGATGTTGTGAGCACGTTTCCAGTAGCGGTTTGGTCGCAGCATTTCGCTAAAAGAATGAGAAATTGGTTCCAATCAAAAGGCTTTTAACTTCAATGCAATGCTGTCAGAATCAGGGCCGCGGTCGGCCGCGGAAACAAGATCAGCCAACTAGAGACTTCTAATTATACCCGACCCAGAAAACCCGCGGTCCAGTTTCCAACAGCCTTGCTTCAGTACCATAGCTAGATTCTAAAAACCTGAGTACTACAAACCTATGAACTCTTATGATACTCTTTAAAAAATAGTAAAATCCAAAAATTGAAATCATATGCTCCTCGTATTCTTCTCTAATCCCTTTTTACTTTCTTCTATAATCCCAATTCCTCCTAACTTACATCTTTGCCGCCAACGCATCGTAATCAATCTGTCCGTCTGCCGACGATGGAACCGATGCGACGGAAGCGGAGATCAATCTGAAAATAGAATGCTGAAAATAACCACGGTACTGAATATGCACGTTTTTGAGCTCTGATGTTTTTGGGCTTTCGAAGAGCGATAATACATTCTTTTCTATATGAAAATCTGAATCCCCATGGGTCGAATTGTTCATCTTACACTAGAAAATGCAACGTCATTTTGTAGCAAGATCTCTCTTTCTGTTTCTTCTTAGACAACTCATAAATTATCCTTTTCATGTGCTTCGGGTTAAAAAGTGGTAATATTCGGAAGGTGGTGAAGAGCATTCATTATTTATTATCTTGTTTTCAAGAATTCTCAAAGTAGATCTCGAAGAGAAACTGATCAAAATGTACTACGAGATCATCACTTTACTACTACAATGAATTGTGTTTTTTACTACATTTATAATGGTCAATGACCCTCTTCTCCAGATTCTGAAATTCTTCGTCCCACGTCATCTTTGCGCCTCCCCGAAGATCTTGATAAAATGCTGCGAGGAGTGAAATGAATAGTTGACGAGTAGCGTGGGAACTTTTTTCTCTCCAATTCAAAAAAGAAGGCAGCCAAATTGTTTCTCGGAGTCTCTGATCATTCGAGTACTCCCATGACATTACTGGAAATGTGATGGTGTGGGAGAACACAACTTGTTGATCGTACAGGAAACCAGATGATGTAATTCTTGAGAAGGTGTGGGTACTGGTTAAAGAGAATCAGGGATCATGGAGGTCATGGACTAACTTAAACTGTCCAAAAGCAACTCTATCAAAGAATGATCATTTTGATATTGCCAATCTACCGTATTTCCTCTAATTCTTCTTTCCAATCAAAGCAGTCAACTTTGAACTCAATTATCCAGGTTCCTATGAGAGATATCAAAAATTTGCCAACTGATGAAATAGAAAGTTAGGATTTTTATCATGGTTCCATCAATTTCCGATTTTTAACATTTTCTGTTTCAAAGGACAGACAACCGTGTTTCCTCTAATACAAGCCCACCCAAACCATCAGATTTGAGCTCAATTATCTCAATTTCTGTGAAAGATATGAAATCTTTGTCAACTGATAAATTACTTATCATAATATCAAAAATATTTTATCAATCGACAAATTTTTTATATCTCTCATAGGAACCGAGATAATTGAGCGCAAAGTTGAGACCCAGAAACCGCCAGGGCTGCTAGGAGGCCGTATTTATCCCTAGGAATATCTCCAAGCAAAATGCCGTGCTGCTAAATACATTAATCAGAAACCTATTCATGGAATCACTATAAAAATAGCACCTAGTTGAACGAAAGTGAAGCGTTTCCGTTTTCCAGCAGCTCAACCGGAATAATATGAAAACCCGAGAGGTACAATTTGAACGTTTTACAAGTTCAAAAGGATTAAATATCCCTAGTTACTTTTTGTACTTGTCATGCCCAAAACAAATAATTTCTAAGTACAAAGCTCTTGAAACTAATTCCCTATCCACATCGAATGTCCACCCCGTATGCATCCCCAGCTAATCCCTATACTACTATCAAATTTCCATCGAATTCTGAAGCTAGACTACTACTGCTACAATTCATAAACTATACGATTGTTCCCAGAACTTACTGAACGATCACAAGAACAATAAGAGCAATGGAGAGCACTGACGACGACTTCATTTCGGAACTCTGGGGTGGATGCACGGCAGAAGACGTGAAAGAGCGAGAGCAAGTGAAGGCCTTCGCCCGTTGCTCGGTTCTTTTTAAACGAAGAAGTGGGCGGGGTCTAATGATTCTGAAAGGAGGAGTGGAAGAAGAAGAAGCAGTAGTAGGAGAAGGTTTTGTTGGGGGTGTGAAGGATGAATAGTTTTTTGAAGATGTGATTCTAAAAGAACGTATTCATTAGCTCTGGGTTAATACTAAGATTCACGAGACGTCAAAGCGGGATACGGTAGGCGTGGGAGCTACCGATGAATAGACGACTCTCGCATAATTAATTACCTCTTTTGATATTGGTTTCTTTGTCAATGCTAAACGCTTTGCGTCATTCAAATTTAGTCAGGTTTCTGAGAATTTTTTGGGAAATTGCAGGGTTTCGGACGGAGGAAATTGTAGATAATTTGAGCAGACGAAGAAGCGATAACAGTAATTTAGAACAAATCATCAAGTGTCTGGCACATCGTGTGATCTGCTGGTAGATGAAAGAACCATATATCGAATTTGTCACTTTTGATAAATGGGTTCAAAATAAACCTGTATAACCACCGGCATCATACAGCTGAAAAAGTACATCGATTTCGACATCATCGGAGAACGACGAGAGGACAAAGAGGGACCGGAAAAGTCTCTCAACGATGCACAGGATCTTACAGGACGATATAAACATTATGCTAGCACCAAAGTCAGAGCTGTGGAAGAGAATCACCGGTGAGCGTGGCCGAAGGTCCCACAGCTGCCGTAACCCAAAATAATTTATACTTTCCGACTTAAAAAATTATTATTTGTAGGTTTTTGTCATGTCGAAAATTAGTCATTATTCAGGTTATTTGGGGGAAAATAACAACAAACTCAAAGTTAAAAACGAGGAAAAATCTGAAAAATTGAACTATTTTTAGTTTACGGTAGTTTTCGTTGTGGGACTTTCGGCCACGGCCACCGGCGTTTCTGTTACCCAGCTCCGATTTCTTTGTGAACCAGAATAACGTTGAATCTGAAGTGTCAAAAATTCTATGTCTCCTGAAGACTACGAAATATATACTGGTTGAATAGTTTCAGATTTTATCGAAACTAATGACCTGAACTTATTCTGCTTGAAATTTTGAGTTCTTTGTTTTCAAATTTCTGGAAAAATCTATTCTGCAATCTTCTAAACGATTGTCTACTTTCCAGAAGCGCATTTCCTAAAAATAGCTGCACTTCGAATTCTCTTAATTCTCAATTTTATCTCAAATTCGAATCATCTTGTTGTTGTTTATTCACCTTCTTTGTTTTGCTCTTCTATTTTCGTTTGACTTCAGTACTTTTTTCCTTTTCCTTGTCCTTTTTTCGAAATTATAGGTTATACATGTTACACAACGTCAGGTAACATGTCCTGTGATGTCGAAATATAATTGGAGATCTATTGTTTGTCACACAGAGAAACAAAAACCGTTGAATTTGCACGCTCAATTAAGTTGCACTTCGAGTGTAAGCCGATCGAATTTGAGAAACCGCGCTTTGAGTGTTGTGTCGATTTACGCTAAAGCGCGCGCAATGCGTAAGTTCGGAGTATCGTTGAACAATTTTTTACAATTTGCAACTTTTTTCATATTTCTTCGTTGATTTTAGCACACCAACTGTATTTTTTTCAGACAATAGTCAATAATGAGCTACGAAATTACTGGTCCACCTCTCGTCTCGCCATGGATGATGCTATCGATGTCCGAGGCTAGAAATGATATCGACGAAACTAAAATTGTTATTCCGGGACACTCGGTTTGCGATGCTCCACAACAATTCATGAGGTAAATACGATTTAGTTGTTTGAAAGCCTGATTAAAAACTTCAGAGGACATGGAACGTTCATTCGAGATGGAGAAATCGTTAGTTCTCTTTCTGGAGTCGTTAAACAACTGAATCGTCTTCTAATGGTGAAAACAATCAAACAACGATACGCTGGAGAAGTTGGAGATGTAGTTGTTGCTCGTGTCGTCGAAGTTCAGGCGAAACGATGGAAGTGCGATGTATCATCCCGGCTTCACGCCAATCTTCCTCTCGGATCCGTTCTGTTACCCGGTGGAGATTTCCGACGAAAAGATGTGGAAGATGAGGAGAAAATGAGCGAATTTTTAAAAAACGGAGAGCTGATATGCGCTGAAATCCAACAAGTACAACACGACGGAACTCTGATGTTGCACACAAGAAACAACAAATACGGAAAGTTGCAGCAGGGAATTCTAATCAAAGTGAGTAAAAACAACAATTTTATTTTTAAAAATAGTCACTGACGATGTCGGGCTCTAAACGCTTCTGACGTCTTCTCCAATTGCCGATCCTTGTACTCCACTATCGGATCTCCGTCTCTTCCCTCTGTCGGTTGTAGGTGTACTTTCTCTACGCCATACCGGAGAACGCAGAAAACGATGAGAATGGCGGCAATCAAAAGCCAATGAACATACATCCGCCAATCACAGATTTCCCAACTCTATATTTTCTTTTTTTTTAAGTTTTTCATAGCAATATTTAGCATCTCAACCTGCTCTAAAACCTGTTTCTTTTTCATCTCTAGCCGACGGAGCATGGAGTCCAGCAATTTAGTTCGAATGTCATCTGCTTTCGCAATGTAGTCACGCATTGTCTGATAACTGACTTCTCCGGTTGTGCCGTTTGATCAGTTAGCTCAGCTAACCTAGCTGTGGTTTCTTCAAAAGTTCACGTGAAGGAGAAATTAGAAAAAAGTGCATCGTGAGAACTTCCTGATTGTAGGATCTTCAAAGTACACTGAGACAGGAGGCGTGTGAATTTTTAATCCCAATGCAAATATATATGATGTTTCTTCTAAACTAAATCACTTCCGTTTTCAGGTTCCCCCGCACTTGATCAAAAAATCCAAGAAGCACTTTCACACGCTGCCCTACGGAATGGCTGTCATCATTGGTTGCAATGGAAACGTGTGGGTAACACCAGCGTTGCCAGAAACGACACTCGAGGAAGATGGATCACATGTAAACGAGTTTCAAGTGAGAAAATGATGTCAACTCAAATAATGTGATTCGATAATTTTCAGACTGTTCCCCATGACATCCGGCTCGTTATGGTACGAGTCGCCGCTTGCATTCGAATTCTCCGTGATTACTCGATTTCGATCTTCCTCAATTCACTGACAACGTGCTATGAAATGAGTCAACCTTATGATGTTTGTAGTTTCGAAGTTTTTTGTAGAAATAAGTTTTATTTTTCAGATCAAAGAGCTGTCGGATCAGGAGACGTCATCTCGGCTTGCCTACCTCATCGCTGCGCGCCTTCTTCAGGAACTTCAACAGCAACAGCAGAAGTAACTCATCAATGGATCTCTAATTTGTTTCTTTGTTATTGTTTCTTGTTGAATTCATATAAATTTATCATTTTTCTTTCGAAATTTTTGTTTTAAATTACAGGAATCCGAAAAGTTGATTTTTACCTATTTTTAAATTGCTCATTGCAGACCTAGACAAAAAAGTACTTGTCTGGATTTCTGTTTACGAAAATCTGCGTTTTGGAAGAATGATCCTTTTAAGTTACCCAGTGCTCTCGGAAGGAAAAAAACGTTTTAAGTATTCTTAAAATAGGTGTGTAAAAACCTGGTTTCGGAAATACAAACGGGTGTGACTTTTGAGTGCACTATACATTTTTTTTTAAGTTGACTATCGTCGAATAATGCAACTGAGGGTTATCTTCCACAGTTTTTTGCACCTTTCTGTTGTATTTTTTCACATTTTCACACTTCAGACTTATTCAATGTCGTCAATTTTTCTACAGAAATGAAACTAGAGTCGAATTTATTACGGGTTATTACACATGTTTCGAAGAATTTTATGCCTTGTCACATTGAGATTTCCAATCAGAGAAAGCGAACTGTTTGGCGAAGGCAGTGAATCCATCCAACGGAATGAATCCATCCTTATCAGCCAACTTCTTCAGTTTTGGTGTCAGTTCAGCTGGATAGATGACGTGCTCATCAATTGGGTTTGGATCGTGGTTGAGAAGACGAACGGCTGGTTTTGGAAGACGTTTGAATTCAACAACGAATCCAGCAGAAGTGGTCAACTCGTCCTTGACATACCCCATCAGTTTCATGACAGATAATGTGATCTCGGTGTGCTGAAAACAAAATGTGAATACAAAAAAAAATCAAAGTTGACTTACAGAAGCGTATCCAATGACTTGTGGTCCCTTTCCAGCGTTAGCATCTGCCACTTTGTCCAAAAGAGTTTGAAGCCAATATCCAGCCATCAAGTTTCCGCATGGTCCGTACTCAGCACAAGCGTTTTGGTGAACCTCAGCAAACTCGAGAATCTTTGCCTTCAGCTTCTCGAAAGTGTATCCTTTGAGCTTTGGTGACTTGATCCATGATGGGTATTCCGCTTTGTAAAGATCGATTTCAATCAAGTTGTCAGCCAAATCAGCAGCCTTTCCAAGATTTCCCATGTTCCATTTAGTGTTGTCAGCAAAGTATTTAAGTTCAGCAGAGTTTGAGGTCTTGAGTTTCTTGAGAGTTGGAAGAGAATCCTTATCAATTGGTCCCCAGACTTTATCATTTCCCTTGCACTCCTTAACAGCGTACATACGAAGAAGTGGATCATCAATAGCGTATGGGACTGGAGACCAGTGATCATACCACTTCTTGTCCCAATCTCCCCATTGTTCTGGATCATGGAGAGCGGCAGTGACTGTCTGAAATTAATAATTGATTCTGGATGACCTTAGATTCTAGTTACCTGTAGAGTCATCTGACATCTGTTAGCAGAACTCGAGTAGTATTTGACTTGCGATGAGTTATAGTTACGAGAGATCAATTTTCCAACAAAGCTTCTCAATTCTTTCCCCAATCCGAGTCCTTGTCGTTTTCCATACTAAAAACACTACATTTTCAAAATTTCAAGATACCGTTTTTCTCTAATAAAAGCCCACCGAAACCGTCAACTTTGAGCTCAATTATCTCGATTCCTGTGAAAGGCTTAAAAAATGTGTCAATTGACAAAAGATTTCGGATATTATGATAAAAATTTCACAGATGACAACTTTTTTGAATCTTGGAACTGAGATAAATTGTCTTGAAGGTACAGGTTAGGGACCCTTCTATTAAAGGTTTTACGACACGTAGAAACATACAGATGTCAACTCGGTATTTCCCTCATATCCCCAACTTCTTGGGTTCTCCTCAAGGAAGACTTCTGGATGACGGTTTCCATGACGAGTTCCGAAAAGTACAAGAACTGAGTTCTTGTCAATTGCGACAGACTTCTTTGGGAGAAGATGTTCGGCACAGGAGGCCGCTGCGACCAAGGCAAGGATAACCAGAAGGTTCATTCCTGGAAATTCATTTTAGTGCTAGGTAAAAGAAAAAAAATAAAAGTTTAAACGATTAGAAAAACAACTTCTCGACAAACAATCTCATCTCATCTGCCTTTATGTACTGTTTTTTTATCTGAAGTGATAAGATAACAAAAGTGGGCGGAACGTCAATTCAGAAGATATTGAAGAGGTGACCTGATTTCATCTGATATTTGTGTGTTTTTTTTTCATAGAACTATCGGTTCCTAGTTGACAAGATGGTAGGCACGTCATGGTTTAAAATTTAAGGTTTTCAAATACACTTGAAAATCAATAAAGTCAAGATTATACAATGTATACTAGAGTTAATAATATCATAGTTGCAAAATCTCGGGCCGGCCCGGGGTACGTACAGACGTTGATTTTTTTGAATTTTTTTTTCGAAATTTTTTCAAACATTTAAACATAAACGACCTATTTTACGACTATTTTCTACTTTGTAATTTTGATTAATAATGTAACTTTTTTTCCTTTTTATTTCAAAAAAAATTACCCAAATTTTCATCGGAAAATTATCCAATGTGGTAGGCGGGCCGGCCCGGGCCGAGAAAATTCGCCTACCGGCCCGGCCTTTTGCAACTATGAATAATATTAACTAAATATGAAAAACTGTTGAAACAGTAAAAAATGGGAAACAAAACCAGAAGTCCATTTTTACCTAGGACTATCAGACCATTTTTACCTAGGACTATCTGATCTTGAAACTGTGCGGACCAAGGTTCTGATCTATTTGTCACCTTTGGTAAAAATATACACTTTAACATAATAAATATTGCTTATGTTATGATAAACATTTTGATTGCAGACCGTTTTTGATATCTCTCACAGGTAATGAGAAATATGAGCTCAAAGTTGAAAGCTTATGTGAAGCTCTATTAGAGTGTTGACGGTATCTGCTATGAAATTCATCCTACAGTTATACTACAGTTATAAAAACGGCCACAAAACGGAAAGAAGCTAGTCTAGCAGTTTGTCTATAACTAGAAGTTAGACTACTAATTTTATCCAGTCCTATTTGGTCTTGAAACTTCGCGAACCAAGGTTCTCTAGTCTATTGGCCAAGGTCAAAAACTAACATGCCTTTACCAAGGAACATAAGATCACAAACATCCTAGAACTGATCTGACTTCTGAGATTCTCGAGTTCCTTTAAATACCCCAACAAAGGCCAAACTTCATCCCAGATATGGCCTTCAAACAGACGATTGCCCATTCAATTGAAGATGGAAAGCAGTAATTGGTTCGCAACACACACAAAAATAAAATACACAAACAACTTTATACACCAAGACACGATTTGTTTTTCTGAACTTGAAAATCGTCTTCTTTGAATTCTTAATTTGATACTTCGTCTTTTCAATTCTTCGAAACAACCTTTCTGTGTCCGTGGAAAATCAACAAATTGAATTCTAGTTCCTCGTCTTCTTTTGGTCTGGCAAAGTTCAAGGTGAAGCAAATGCATTATGCGGTAATTTGAATTTCAATGTAAAATCAAGAATCAGACATGCGGAAGTAGAAAAAACAAATTTCGGACAGTGCTGAAGATCACTACAAATGATGTTTAAAACTTTAGATACCGTAAAACCTGTATCAGTAGGGACGGCTCTTCTATTGTTCCAATTTTCGAAAGTTCGGAATAATCTGTTTTTTTTTAATTTGGGCCTTTGAAAGTACAAAAGCTCCGATATCGAAATAGAAGCTTTGGAAATATTCCGGAAAATTCTTTATAAATTATTCCGAATTCCGTTCCGAACATCTCTGATACAAGTTTTCTGGTATTCATGTCGACATTCATTTTTTCTATATGTAATAAACTTCATTCATAAAAATTCAGGTCATTTCTATATACATTAAAAAGGTAAAAAACAATTATGCATTGAAACAGTGAGATGAGATTCATGAGTATTGTGACAAAAGAAATGCTGCAGATTTCTCGATGATCCAATTATTATTGAATCCAAATGGTAAGAATTGTGAAAGCGATCGCTGACAAAATATTCAATGAGGATGTAGACGAAGAGTCGTTTCCATTTGGATTATCCAGAGCACACGATGGGGCATCGCATTGTTTCGGCCAGTCAGAATAGCTCTAGAAAATTCGAATTTCGAAGTTTTGTTCTGAATAACACAAACTACCTCTGGTCTAACGATTCTTAAGAAATCCGACAGCCTTATAAATCCATCTGATTCTTGAACATCGGACAATTCCTTCGTCAGATTTGCTGGGTAGATAACATGAGCGTCAATTGGGTTCGGATCGTGGTTTAAAATTCTGATTGCTGCATTCGGACGTCTTCTGAATTCAATAACAAATCCAGCGGATGTCGTAACTTCTTCCTTCTCAATTCCCATTAATTTCATTACAGCAAGAGTGACTTCCGTATGCTGAAATTGCTAACATTTAAAAGATGGAGAAATTTTACTAACCGATGCGTATCCAACCACTTTTAATGGAGTTTTTGAAGAGTTGGCATCGTTGAGTTTACCAATAATATCGTCTAACCAAAGTCCTCCCATCAAGTAACGACATGGATAGTAGTATGCACAGGATCGAGGATGGATTTCAGCTGAAAAAGTTTTTAATGAAGTTTTATGATTCTTACTTCTAACATACCAAATTCCATAATAGTCTTCTTCAATTCATCCTCATGATATCCGTTCACTTTCGGCTGTGTCAACCACATAGGATAGGAAGTGTTATAGAAATCCATTTGAATCAAATTATCAGCTAAATCAGCAGCTTTTCCCAAGTTTCCAGTCATATTCCATCCAGTTTCCTGACTCAAATATTCCAAAACCACGGAATTATCATTTTTCATATTCTCAAGCTCCGGTAAGTCATCGTTATCTATTGGAGCCCACACTTCGTTGGATTTCTTGCAGGATTTTACAGAGTACATTCGGAGAAGAGTATCCGAAATTGTGTATGGAATTGGGGACCAATCATCGAATCGTTGAGTATTCCAATCAGCGTAGGTTTGTGGTGGATGGAGACCAGTCATGGCTACCTGGAAACGGAAAATGGTATTTGCTTCCGATTTTTCTTGGTTTTTCAATTATTTTCTGTATTTCTTGTGACCTACTGACACTCTTGGCTAGAATAGGACAGTCGTATTTCGCAAGGTTCCAAAATTGGACAATTTTTACGATTACCATAAGATCTGTAATAGAAAGGACCGTGACTTTCAAATTTGCGCCAATTTTTCTCGGTTCCTGTTGGAGATATTTAAAAAATTGTCACTGATAAATTGTTTACCATGAAATCAACAGCATTTAATCAGTTTACACATTTTTTATATCTCGCATATGTAGTAATTGAGATTGTTGAGCTCGGTATTCATACTCGTCACGGGTATTCATACTTGTCACGGGCCGGGCCGGGTCAAAATGAAAAATTCTCCTGCCCGGCCCTGTCGGCCCGGGCGAGATTCCAAAATTTCAAAATTTCGAAGTTTTTTTGAAAATTTGTGAAGTTTTCATCAAAATTGCTATAAATTTTGAAGTTTCGATACTTTTATAAGGGCATATTATAACAGGAAGTTGTTTTTCAGGTGGAATTCAAAAAAAAATTTTCTCAAAAATTTTCAAAAAATCACCGGGCCGACCGGGCTGGGCCGGAAGAATTTTTTCCGACCCGCCCCTGACCCGGCCCGCCGGGCCGAGTCACTATGGCCGGGCCGGGTCGGGTCACCGGGTCGGCCCGGAATTTGACAAGTATGGAGGTATTAACCTGTTTTAGTATCGAAATGTTGTGTACAGAAATGTCTCGGCGCCTATAAGAGATATCAACAAGTGAAAAACTAACAGAATGTTTATCATAATATCAACAATAGTTGAAAACTGTTTGATACCTCTTACAGAAAACGAGATAAATTCGGTCAAAGTTGACCTCCCTTCTATTACATGTTCTACGAGAAATCTAATTTACCTGTAACGTCATCTGGCATCTGTTTGCAGAGCTTGAGTAGTATTTGACTTCAGAAACATTGCAATTATTCGTTGTCAAATTACCAATAAACTTTCGAAGCTCCACTCCCAATCCATATCCTTGTCGTTTTCCAATCTGAAAGGTCAGATGTTCAGGTGTTTACAAAATTGTATTCAGCTTACCGATGTCAACTCTAATGATCCTTCTTGTCCCCATGTTCGCTCTATTCCCGTCAAAAATTGATCTGGGTTACGGTTGCCATGTCTGCAAATCAAACTGTTTGATTGGATACTGATTCCAAGCGCTACCTGGTTCCAAAAATCACAAATTCAGTATCTGGACTGATTTTCGTAGACGTTAGTGGCAAGGCTTGTTCGTTCGCAGATCCACTCCCAAATATTACCAGAAATAACAGAAAAATCAAATTTCTCATCCTAAAAATGGGGAAATTGGTTTAATGGACAGTTTCCACTTGTTGCAGATCTCTCTGCCGAACCAAAATCGTTCGATTACCTCGAAAAAGAGAGAAATGAACTATCGTCGGATTGTTTAGAGGCAAAGGTAAAACCGTTGGCAACATAAAAAATAGTGTAAAAAGATTAGGAGACGCAGTGACAAACACAGGTAAACCGAGAAGACAAAAAGTTTTCGAGTTGTATAACTGTATGTGTGTATGGTATGTTCAAATATTTGAACCATCTTTTTCAAGTTCTCTTTTTTTGAATTGGAGAAAAATGGTAAGTCAAAAGGCGGCGAACGACGAAGACATAGAAAGAACACAAATAAATAAAGCGTTTTGAACTTGCTCCTTGATTGGAGTTTGATCTGGCCAAGAGAAAAAATCAAAAACAATTTAAGAGGTCTAGAACCTGCTTTTTAAAAATGAAATGTACCAAATACTATTTATGTAAGTGGCCCTAACTTTTAAAACTTAGAGAAAAATTATCTTGGTTAATTCAGAACATATCAAGAATTTGTCCACTTTTTGATATCGTTTGCAGAAATTGAGATAATTGAGCTCAAACTTGACAGTGTGAGAGCCCTTCTATTACAGCTTTTACGGTATTTCGAAATTTTATGTTTTAAAAGATTTTTCAGACAATTGGTTTTTTTTGAGGATATTTTCAGAATTCTCCTGAATTTTAAATTAAATCCTAATTTTTTTCAGTAATTGTTCGAGAATTTAACTTCATTCTTCTAAAGCTACTCGGTCAATTTTCAAAAAACATTGAAAAATGCTTTCTACTTCTTTTTTCAGAGTTAAAAGATTTTAACTACTTTTGGGTTTTCAGGGCTCAGTCAGGTCAAAACTTCAAATTTCTAAAGCTCTCATCACTTTATATTGACAGAATTTTCCTAGATAAAAATTTGACCTATATTCTATTATGCTTGTCTGAGAAAAAAAGGTTGAGACGCAGAGAAAAATTGTCTGCGTCTCCACCGTTTGAGTGCTATTTAGGCTCTCCGCTTCGATATAGCTACCGTATTCAGACTGCAAAAAATACTCTCTAACCTTTTTTTTCTCAGACAAGCATAATAGTTCGTCTGAAAACGACCAAACAACATTTCAAAACTGTCCATCCAAAATTTAAATTCCAGAATTATGAAAAAAAATCCGTTTGCGGGTCAAAGCAACAACAGCCACCAGGAACTAGAATTCTGTATCTGAAATTGCAGACAGTTTAGTGTCTGGCATAAAAATGAGAATGATAAGAGGATGATAAAAAAATACCATTCGTTTATTGTTCTTTTTCAAATTTCAAAATCCAAAGGTTCCCAAGTGTTCTGGAAAGTTTTAGAGAGACTTGGTTAGTGACGAAGCATACAATCTGTATTTGAAAAGCTCCCTCTAATTAAAGGGTCCCTGTTACAGAAGGACCCATAGAGGTTCCTTGGAGCAATAGAAGGACCGGCACTTCTAATACATGTTTAGAGTAGTTGGATGAGATAGTAAGACGTTTAGCTAGAAATTATGTAAAATGGAAAACTTGGAATTCAAAAATATTGAGAAACAGTAAACCAATGGCTGTCGTAAGTATTAAAATGAAGAGTATGCATTCATGAGTACTTTTGAACTATAAAAAATGACTTTTGAAATGCCACTTTTCTATGAATTTTCGATGAGAATATCCATTTACTTTTGACGAGAAACATTTTTTGATCAGAGAAAAAATATCTGTATTCGAAATACAGAATTTAAAAGATGGATTACTATAGTACAAAAAATCGGAGCTGTGGAAGAGAAAAGCCGGTGGCCGTGGCCGAAAGTCCCAAAACGACAACTACAGTAACCTAAAAACTATAACTCTTCTATATTATTCCTAACAAGGTAACATTTCAAGTTGTTTGGCTGATTCGCATAAACCAACCATAGAGAATGAAAGAGCATGTTTCAAAACCTATACAACCGTTTTCAAGTCTGCTTACGAAACCTCTGAAGTGCTGAAGCTTCAGTCCAAAATTTGATAGGTTTTCTAGGTTTTGAGAGATGCTCTTTCATTCTCTATGGTTGGTTTATGCAAATCAGCCGGACAATTTTAAAAATTCACTTGTAAAAAACTTATTATTGCAAATCTGAAAACTGTGAAAATCAAAAATAAGTGAAACAGTAAACGTTTGCCGTCGCTTTTCAACCAGTCACCAGGTGTTCCGTTTGCGTTTCGAATTAACAAAAAATCTGGAAAAAGACAACAAAATGGGGTGAAAAGGGGAACAAATTCAATAATAAAAGAACAGAAAAGGTTCAATGGATCCTTTCCGGCAATCATGTGATTCATCGTGTGCTTCTTTCCTCTTATCAACCACAATTGGAGTCGAAACAAACTTTTTTCTGGAAAGATTAATTTTCAGACGAGGAGAACGTTATAGAAATTTCAAAATTTCCAGCGATTTCATCGTTTGAACATGCTCCTGTAAAACGTCGTTTGAATTAAATAACAAAAGAACTTCGACAATTTCTGAAAATTTTGTAACCGCGTTTATATTTCAGGGAGTTTTCATGATTCTTGCTTTTCGACAAAAAAAACTGTTTGTTTACTGGGCAGTGAAAACCGTTTCCCTGGAGTGCTACCAACTCAAAAAAAAAACTTGAGAAATCAAAAGATCAATGAGCACAACTTTGAAAAAAACCACACCCTTCTCAATGACACTTTTAGCACTTAAGCTTTAACAATTTGGAAATTCTTGAAAACATGAATTACTTTTTACAAATTCAAAAAAATGATCCAGACCTCTAAAAACAAAATGATATCATTTTTTCTTGTCCACTCACAACATCACTATCACCAATTTCAAATTGCAAACATCACAGTTCCGTGGTGCTCCAATGATAAATAATGTGGATTCGTCGAGTGGACATCGAGGCGATATACTCCAAAATACACAAAATAGTGTGTCTATTTGTTGATGAGTTGTCTATGGTAGCGTACAAAGATAAGGCCATTGAGACATTGAGGGGTGAAATGGTTTGGACACAAAAACGATAAGTTCAAGAGTCCAATTTTTAAAGATCGATGATTTACGAAATTGATGAGAAGGTATATAAGTTCGAGTTTTCAAATATGAACAAATATGTCTGGAACTTTCTTCAAATGTTTAATTCGGATTTAACTTTTGATTATACGTTGATAAGGTTTTAGAAACACATACCGTATGTATTTTCCATAGAAGAAGCTCATTCAAACCGTCAACATTAAGCTCAATTATCTCGATTTCTGTGAAAGATATCGAGAAGAAGTCAACTGATAAATAATGTATCATAATATTACTAACATTTTATCCGTTGAGAGCTTTTTCATATCTTTGACAGGAATCGAGAAAAATTGGCTTTAAATTTGACGTGTGGGTGATCTTTTATTACAGGTTTTATGGTAGATCTTTGAGTTGTTATTCAAAACTTTTCTCAAATCTTCCAGTCACTTTTTAGTCATATTGGACTTGATTCTTGCTCTACGCTGATAGTTCTTCACACTTATCCCAATGACTTTTGTTCTCTCTCATGATCAACTCCAAAGAGCACATGAGTACAATTCCCCTACAGACGTATGAGTAGTACTGTTATGTGTCACAAAGTGTGTACACACAGACATATCCTCTCTGAAAAAAGTGAAAAAAGTGTCTCCCAGCGGAACAAAAACAGATTGTGAAATTGAACAGGAACACAGAAGAAGAAGAAGAAATGAGACAATGATGAGGAATGTAGTGACGATTATTCGAGTAGGTTGCCAAATAGATCCGAAACAGAATCGGAGAGAAGACAAATATATCATCTCGTTGTCACCTTGAACAAGAATAAGGGGAGGAGAGAAAAACGATGTATCAGTGTCATTTTGAGTGTGGGCTTGGCTTGCTGAGCAGTGACCAACTTTGTTTCGCATTTTTACGACTAGACTCGTTTTCGAATCTGGCACGTTTTTGGGCATTCTTAACTTTTTAAGGCTTTAAAGGTGGTGTACGGTGAAATTTTTTATTGCATCAAAATGTGAAGAAATGCATGTAGATTGACATAAAAATAAAGAAAAAATTCAAAAAAATTCCTTCATCGAGAAAAACGCATCGAAAAATACGCTGAAAGCCCTTAGGGACTAGGTTTTTTCTAGGCCGCCCGGTGAGTAAAAGCGCGCGAATTCAAACTTTTCGCTTGTTTTCACTTTTTT